ATGACTTCCCAAACACACCTCCAGGTCCCCAGGGAAGAAACAAGGCAAAGCTCAGCCCACACTAGTGAGCAATGCTCATCCCCTGGCTGGAGGAAGTACAATTTTCTAGTTCAAGTCTCGGGCTCACATTCCACTCACGGAGTGCTGTGGCATGGGTGGTCCTTGGCCAGTCAGAGCTTCCATGTGCCTGACCAGAAATGTCATGGGTGTGATGGTGGTACTTACCCCAAGGATGCTGTGAGACCTGAATGGGCCTCTGGCCTCTGGGCCGCCAAACTCAGCTGAGCTTCCTTCTGCTTCCGCCCAGCCCTTCATCTTCCATCCCAGCCTGAGAGACCCCCACATAGCATAAGCCCAAGTGAGACTTACCTGGTCTTTAAAGAAACCGGAGACCAGGTGGCTTCCGGCTTTAGTCACCACTGAGTGGGACAAGGCAAGTCTCCAACAACTGTGCCAGCTCTGACTCTGCCCCTTGCCCATCCCTTGCTCCCTTCCTAATCCACCTTATCTAATGGAGAAAGGGGCCTTGGCAACACACCCAAATGAGCACAGATGTGCCTACTAGCTTGTCGCCCAGCCTGTCCACGGATACTGACCTCCAGCCGCAGCCCGGCCAGGTGCAGGCGAAGGGCTTCTCGCCTGTGTGCCGGCGCAGGTGGGCCTTGAGGTGGCTGCTCTTGGTGTACATCTTGCTGCAGCCGGGGAAAGTGCATTTGTGCATTTTGAGAAGTTCTGCTGCTGGGTTCTTGGGGAACTTCTGGCCCACAAGGAGGCCAGCAGGGCCGGGCCCTAGGGATCCCGAACCAATAGGTTTGGCAGCGATGGGCACAGGTGCGATGCGCACGAACTTGGAGGGCAGGTTCAAGTTGGAGGATGGTACCACTTGAGGCAGAAGTGCAAAGGTCTGCCCCTGGATGTTGACCAGGAGCTGGGCGACCTTGACGCTCTCCGGGGCCTGCCCTGGGGAGGCTGGCCCCGCACCTGCCTCCTGTTTCACAGCAACAGGCTGGATCTGCAGCAGCACCGGCATGGGGCCATCCCGTGCTGGCCCCTCACTCGCACTCTGGGCACCACCCCCGCTGGTGCCACCTGGTGGTGGGGTACAGCGCTCTCTCCCACCAGACTCTGGATGGAGGTGGCTCCGGTGTGACCCAGCTGAGAGCTGGCCACAGGCCTCCAGGTCCCTGCTGCAGCCCTCTGGAGCCTCCTTGACCTCAGCCTCCATGTTCTCTTCCAAGAATTCTTCAATCTCCTCCAGGGTAGGCTGGAAAGGCCTGGGGACATCATCAGGGTCTCCTGACAGGAATTCAGGGAAGCAGAAATGTTCCCCCTTCACAGGCACAGAGGCTCTCCTCCATGATCCCCAGGTTACAGGGCCACTGCTATCTCCAACACCTCCACTGCCAACACCACTGCCCAGCGTGGCCTGGGACAGAAGGAAATCCAAGATGCTGTCCTGGGTCTCAGGGCCTGGACCTGCGCTGTAGCAGGAACAGAAGGCTTGCGATTCAGGGCTGGCACAAGAGCAGGGGCTGGAGACATCGCTGTCATCCTCAGAGATGGGAGAGGGCAACATGTGGTATGGCCGCCGGCTGGCCAGCCTATCACCCAGGTACCCCACTGGGCATTTTGGTGACGAGAAGGTCTCGTCCACTGGAAGCAAGTGGTCCACCATGCTGGCTTGGCCGAGCCTGTGGTGGCTGCAGAGGGAACAAGGGGGGTCTGGTTAGAAGGACTGCATGCTCACCAGAGCCTTGCAACCCCACCCTCAGCTGCCTGCCTAAGGCCTCCTGTGGCCCAATATCCAGACCCTGCTTCCATCCCAAAGGAGAATGGGGCCGGCGAGTGTGTTTTCAGAAATTGCATCACCCTGTTTGCAAAAGAGCCCTCTCCAGGCCCGTTGCACAACCCAGGGCACTTCTGGTTTCAAACATTTTCCAGAATGATCCTGGAAAAGAATAAGACAAGGAATGCTCTTGTCTGTGAACAGCTGAGTCCAAGGAGGAGAAGAGGCCAGGGCAGGGAGGCCCAGCAAGTGGCAGGACCCTAAACTCTGCTCCCTACCTGGAGTCAGAGAGGGGGTGGGAAGGAAAATGGCCATTTGCACTCTGAGCCCATGCTCCTGGGGATTGCCAGATTGAGCAAATAAAAACACAGGCTGCTTGTTAGATGTTCACTTCAGATTTTCAAAAATGAACTTCTGTGAATGCAAGCACAGTGTTCCCAGAATTGGATGGGACACACGTTTATCCGAGCTGCCCGAGCTTTAGCCTGGTAGTTACAGTTGTCAGGGAAAAAAAGTTAAAGGCTATTAAGTGCCTGCCTGCCTTCATTGTGTTTGCCCACGAACTTCCAGTCTAGTTCCCAGACTGCCCGGAGCCCACTTTTCTCTTCCATGACCAAGAGAGGTAACACATATTTGAGCAGAGCACTCCCTCCATGACACCTAACACTTTCCCACCATGATGGACAAGGCCCAACCCTTGTTGGCCATGAGGCCACAGAAGGTCTGAGAGCCCAGCCCGTGGGTAACTTCCTGGGACCTCGCAACCTTTGGGCAGGATGAGGGGGGTGACATTTGCCCTTGGCCAGTGTATGGGAACAGAGCCTCCTGTCCTGCCCCCGACCCCAGCTCTCCTGTCTGGGACACTCACCGACTTGGGGAAGCTCAGCAGATGTCTGTGTCCCCTCTTGGCAGCACACTCTGCCCTGTCCCCAGCACTCAGCACCACACCAGGTACCCAAGAAGGGCTCAGAGAATGTGGACAGAAAGGAGAGAGGAGAAAGCTGTGTCCTCTGAAGCAACATCCCATGCTAGGTCTGGCGTCCAAGGAGAGTCAACAGTATCTGACTGTGATGGGGCCACCTCTCTGGACCTTTGTCCCCGCCCAGTGACCATGGCTGGCTGTGTGATTATCAAGACTAGCGAAGAATGCTCAGAGCTGTAGAGTACAGAGTCTCTGTACCCACATCCTGTCCATCTGTCTAGTAGGTCCACATCCTGGCACCTGGTACTGCCCAGCAGCCAAGAGGCCAGAGTCATTTTGCTCTCCTGTGCCTCAGTTTCCCCAACTGTTCTATGCCTCAGTGCTCTCTAAGTTTCTCTCTTGCTCCAGGGAATAGAGGCAAGATCTGAGCCCCAGAGCAGTCTTACCAGGAGGCCATCTGGGTTTAAACACTCAGCTGAGGATTTAAAACCGGGTGTGTGCTTTTAAAACACACTCTTTACTAAAGCAGGTGCTGGGAAGGAATAAAGTGACAGACAATGTGAAGGGCAAAGGAGCTGGGCACACACACCTTGTCTGCAGCTATCAGCTGCGTGAGCTCAGGCACTACTTCTCTGTGTGCACATCTGGGTGCCGCCAGTGTGACCTGGCGCCTAGGCCACACACACACCCAAAGAGCTCATGTGTACTGAGCACTTCTTAGGGTTTGAATAGTCAAGCAAATGCACATGGTGTCCCAGGACCTGGAACAGGACCACCTAAAATCTCCTGAAATGAAATAGGATCACAGCTCGACACACTACAACACTGAGCGCTCACACTGTTTTCAAGTGTGATGGTGGTCTCCAGGCTTGATTTTTATAAGGATAGAAACCAAGGTCTGCTATAAAAATAAACAGTGGTGCTGGGTAGGCATAGTGGCTGATGCTTGTAATCTCAGCACCCAGGGGACAGCCAGGGGATCATGAGTTCAAGGGCAGCTCCGTGAGATCCCACTGGAACATGGAAGGGAGGCAAGAAAGAGAGAACAGGTACAAATGGATGATGTCAAAATGGAACTACACGGAAGAATCTCCCTCCCCCATTAAAATGTGTCCAGGGCCCAGAGCACCCAAACCCTCCCCGCCCACATGCTGCCCCTCCAACTACTCGGGCCTGGCTCACCTGCACTAACAGAGCCCGGACCTCTTTGGAAGTCCTGACTCTCCTAGCATTCCAGGTGGGAGCTCATTATTTAGATCTCAACTCAGAAGTCACTTTCCCTTGGGCAAATCACCCAGGATTATATTCTTCACAGCAGGCACCACTGTGAGACCTGTCTATGCTTTGCGTCCCCACCAGAATACAAGAAGTTCTGACTTCAGTACAGGTCTAGATCTAGAGTCAAAAACAGCCCTAGTCTTTGCTGAATGCTTCCAGAATCCAGGAGTGGAGTGGCCCCAGCCAGTCAACAGGATCTTAAAACAGAACTGAGCAACCACGGGACACTGAGGCACGGAGGACCCAGGGCTGACAGACAGCCTGAGTGCCAGCGCTCAAGCCGGTCCTGAAAAACAGCAGCACGTGGCGCAGCCAGAGGCGCAGGCTGCGTGCAGGGGGAGGGGGCACCCGGTTCTGGGCACGGTCCCTGGCCGGCCGCTGGACTCCGCCCCCTCTCTTAGCCGGCCAGGCCTGCTGTTTATCCTCCCGGGGACACAGCGGCTGTAGGAACAACATGTAATTGATAACAAGCCGAGAGCCGGCCAAGGGCTAGCCATTGGGTCAGCGTGCAAATCACGGGGGTGGCGAATGGGGGCTGCTCTTCAAAATAAGAGTCCCCTCCCTGAGCAGTCCGAAGGCCCCAAAGTTTCGGCCATTCTCGCACCTGTGGTGTGGTGGGGGCTCCTCACGGTCGGGGGGAAACATCTGAAGGACTCAATCAAACATTTGGGATTTCACCTTCGCATACCGTGGGAGAAAACAGCCCCTGTACCCTGCTGGCGAGAGGGTTTCCAAGAGGGGTGGCCTGCCCTGCTCCGCAGCTGCTACCCTCAGCCATCTCACCGGTAATGTTTGGTCAAAGGGGCCTGGGGGCTCTGCGTGGGGAATCGGAGCATAAGCGCAGGAACGCTGCGGGTGCGCGCAAATGGGTGTGAGTTTGTGTCGTGTGATTGCGTGTGCGGGGCGCAGTGCAGCCGTGCGGGTGTCCGCCAGGTGCCCGCGCGTGGGTGCCCACCCGTGGGTGTGAAGTACGTGGGGAAGGAGGTGGGCCAGATTCCTATGCACGGTTTCGGAGAGCACCTTACCTTCCGCCCAGTGCCCCCTCCGCGTCCCCTCTTAGGCCACTGCTGCTATGACCGACAGTAACCTCTCCACCCCTTGGTCGCCAGGCCCCGCCAGGCGCCGCCATATGGGAGCGCGGGTCCAGAAGTGCCATGGACGCGCGTGGGCTCCACGGGCAGGAGTTGCGCACATGGGCTTCGCCCTCCGCGGGCCCCGCGCTCTCACACGGGGGTTCCCGCATTCCTCGGGCCCCTGCGCGCCACTCGAACAGCGCGCGCCAGGGGACGGCCCCGATCTCCCGGGCGGACCCAAAGGGCCACGGTACCCCGAGCGTCTCCCACCTGGACTCGGCGTCGCCTGGCGCGGCCTCGCGCGTGCGGCCTGGCTCCGTATGCGGCCGCGCGTCCAGCGCTCCTGGCCGCAGCCCGCGCTCCCTGCGGCCGAGCTGGGCGCTCGCCGCTCGCCGCTCGCCGCGCTCTCCGACCGCTCACGTGACGCCGCGGGCGCCGCGAAGGCTCGCAGGAGGCTCGGCCTCGGGCGCGCGCCCCATTGGCTAGCGCCGCGCGTCACGCGCCCCGCCCCGCCCCGGCCGCGCCCTCCCGCTACCCACGCGCTCCCGGGCCTCTGCGTGGACTCGCACTCCGTCCTCCGGTGCGCACGTGAGACGGGCCTAAGGACCCACGGAAAGCCCGCACAATCCTGAAATGCAGTCCACGTGGGAGCTCCGTCGTCCCCGCAGCCCCCTCCGCATCCCGATCAAGGCCGGATCTAGCAGGGACCGTGTCTAAAGGGACCATTTGTAAAAATATATCTGGTCTTTTCTCCAGCGGTCATGGTTACCCACAGGAATGCGCGCTCGCTGCGCTGCCCTCGGCTTCTGCGACTGACTGTCCGCGGAGGCTTGTGATAGTGCAAGCGCCTCCCCAAAGACTGCAGGGTGCTCCCGACCTGCAGAAGGAGTCCCAGACTTCAATCGCAAGCCATCCTGGGCTGCTTTTGCACCGGCTTAATGAGGAAAGTGAAGCCCTAGAAAACACGTGAGCGAGGGTGCTGGGTACCCTGCTGTGCCCTTTAACCCACACTATGCCTGGCTCCCCAGCCAGCATGAAGAAACCCGCTGAAAGAGAGCATAAGCCTTCCTAACCAGGCAAAGCTAGGTGTGTCTGCCCAGGGGGGCTTCCTTACAGACACCTAGGACATTTGGACAGGCCTTCTTCGTGGCACTTCTTACCTGGCACTGGTAGGTGGCTAGCCGTTCCCCCTGCTTCTCCCAGCCACCCGTCTGTGCTGGAGCCAGAATTTGTAGCTAGCGGTTCTGGGCCCCCTTAATGAAGGATCTGGGGCCCTCCAGATCAGTGCCCAGGACCCACCAGTTCAAATGAGTCTTAGCCAGAGCACTTGAGGGAGCCTGTGCTTGTCAGAAGACACTCATTAACTTTCTGATCTTAGACTAGGTACTCTCTGTGGCTGGGGCATTCCGCAGCCAGGGCTAGCAAGCAAAGCAGGTGGAGTTGGCTAGTCTGTAAAGTTGATTGATCCCATCTTGTCAGCACAGGGCAGGGTCAGGCTGGGCCAGCACACTTCTCCACAGCACTGCCTAGGCTGGGCTCTGCATTCCTCACACTCTCTGTCCAATGCCTCACACCCCCTAGGGAGAAGTGCAGCCAAAGGTCAAAAGCTCGACAGCAAAGGTGTAGCTGAGCAGCCTTGGCCCCAGAGAAGATGCCCCAGCTGTCCAGAAACCCATGACCAGCCTAGGGCATCCTGCCCAACCCCAAGTCAGATTAGGCCCCCTTGCTTCAGAACCTTCCTGAGGCTCCCAATGCACTCCCAGGAAGTATGTATAATCAAAACTGTCTCAGTCTTCTTCAGTCTCTTTTGGGTCCCTTTCATTCCATCCCTGACCCCTTCTTGCTCATGTTACTCCAATCACATGGCCTCCAACTTACCAGGCACAATTTCAGGACCTTTGCATATGCTGTTCCCTCTTTCTGGGTGTGCTCTTACACCAACACTCAACGTGGCTCGCTCCTTCAGGTTTTACTGAAGTGATACCTTCAAGAAGAGCCTGCATTTGCCCTGCCTCTCCTTCCCCGTTTTCCTATCCAGTTAAACGGTCCTGGATACTTACTATCTTCTAACTTATTAAAATTTTCATTTTATTCTGTGTGCTCTTGTCTCCTAAAGAGAATGTAAGCTGCAGAGACAGAGGTTTCTATGTATTCAGAACCAGAGTTTGCATCCCCAGCACCATATAAAAGCCTGTAATTTTAGGACACAGGGAGCCGAGGCTGCCGGAATAGATGGAATCGGTGAACTCCAAGTTCAGAGAGAGACCCTGCCTCAATGAATAAAGTGGAGAGAGCTGAAGAAAGACATCAAATGTCAGCTTCAGGTCTCTGTATGCACACATACATATGTGATTTGTACCCCCCCAACACATATACTCATAACACTCACAGAGAGAGAGAGAGAGAGAGAGAGAGAGAGAGAGAGAGAGAGAGAGAGAGAGAGAGAGAGAGAGAGAATAAATTAAATAGGGTTTCGAGGACTTACCCTAACCTGGGAACAATTGGTCCTTGGGGAAATCAGAACAATTTTCTTGTAAGATACAAAAAAAAAACAAAAAACAAAAACAAACAAACAAAAAACAAAACCTCCCACAGAACCTTCCAGAGTTTCCAGAGTGTGCTCTCATGTCTGCTGTGCTCCCTATCCACTTCCTTCCACAGCAGGGCCTGGCAATCCCTTCATCCTCAGACAGCAGTCAAGTCCCATGACAGCTTTAGCTCCCTACCCCGAGTCTAGATATCTCTCCATGTGCATCGCAGTGCATGGCCGGGATCAGAGTTTGGATGCAAGGCATTCCTGTTGTTTGAGGGAAGAGGATGCGGGGATCCTGACCACCCAAAGGCCTCTGTGAGCTGCTGTACACTCTTCTCCCACCACCTAGACAGAAAAACTCCCCAAGTACAGCAGGAAGGACTTATTTACTTATTATTTTCAGAGTTGGAGCCTGACACCAGGGCCTCAGGCTTGCTGGACAATCTCTCCCTGCTTGAAGGAAAAGAACCAGGCAGTAGGAACTCTTCACGGGAGACCTGGGTAGGGCAGAGTTCTCACAGCAGCAGAAACATCCCATGTGCCCTCCCTTCAAAGAAATGCCTCCTAGAAAAGACCCGAGAGGGTGCCAAGCTGGTAGTCTCTGGGAGTCTGTTAAACTTTGAGAACAATCTTTTGGCATTGGAATGACTTATATTTCTGCAAATTTGCAGAGTTTTTGGTTTTTGTTTGAAACAAGATATTGCTATGGATCCCAGGCTGGTCTTGGTAATCTCCTAGCTCAACCTCATTTTTAAAAGCTTAATTTAAAACACACACACACACACACACACACACACACACACACACACACACACACACATATATATATTTGGGTTTTTTTAATTTTTGGAGACAGGGCTTCTCTATGTATCTTTGGAGCCTTTCCTGGAACTCACTCTGTACCCCAGGCTGGCCTTAAACTCACAGAGATCTGCCTGGCTCTGCCTCCCGAGTGCTGGGATTAAAGGCGTGTGCCACCTCCGCCCGGCTTGATTTACTTATATTTTATGTGTATGATTGTTCTGTATGTGCACCAGAAGAGGGTGCCAGATCCCTGGAACTGAAGTTACAGATGGTTGTGAATCACCACATCGATGCTGGGAATCAAATCCAGGTCCTCTGCAAGCACAACCTATGCTTTTAAACTCTGAACCATCTCTCTAGCATCATGTATTTTAATTTTAAATATCCCTTTAATAGAAAAAACTTACATTGCCTTTTAAAGAAATAAAATGGGTATAAAGTATGTTATTTGAGTATCATATGGCTTTGCCTGTAAAACTGCCTGGTACTGGGACCTTTTGGGGATGTTGATATTTTTCTTACCAGATTTTACATATTTTATCAAGGTATATTTGATTTTAGATCCTTTTTTTAATTCCCACTTTAGAATTGCTACACTTTCCTCCCCTTAGTAGTTACTATTGAATCTGGGGCATCATGCATTCATGGTAAGTGCTCTACTACTGAGCCCCAGACTCAGAGGTATATCCTTTTAATAAGAAAACATATTCTTCTGTTATTTCCTTCTTCCCTGAGACATCTCCATGATTAGATCTCTCCTGTTCAGACCTCTACTCAAATGTCACTTTAGCCCATGACTTTCTTGGTCACCTGGTCTGAAACGGTGTCTGCACTGCTCTCTGATCTCTGGCCTTGGTTCATCTTTTTTCACAGTTCTGGTTTTCTGTTTTTGTTTTTTACTTATATGTTATTGCCTATCTCTCCCACAAGCCACACCTTTAATCCCAGCACTCGGGAGGCAGAGGCAGGCAGATCTCTGTCAGTTCAAGGCTAACCTGGTCTACAGAGTGAGTTCCAGGACAGGCTCCAAAGCTACACAGAGAAACCCTGTCTCGAAAAACAAAAATAAAAACAAAAAAGGTCATGGATTTGGACTGGAGATAGAGTTCTTGCCTAACTTGTAGGGCCTAGGTTTGATCTCCCAGCACACACGTGTAAGCACACACACTCACAAATAATAAAGCGAAGGACATATATCTTGGATTGACATTCTTCTGGTTAGCTTAACTTCAACTTCTCTCCCATGCACATGTCCCCAGATCCAGCTGCACCCCAAGACCTTCAGCCCTTCCTTCCTCGCTCCCTCCAGCTGCTGACAACAGGGCACCCATCCCGCTGGCTTCTCAGCTGGCTTCTTCCTGCAGAGGCAGACCTCTGGATCAATGTAGGTGGACTCAGCAAGAGTCCCATGGGGTGCTGGCCAGGGCTTGTCTTGCGTGGGATGCCTGCTTCTCAGGCAGCTCCCTTCATCACAGCATGAACAGGCATGAAGCTGCAAGTCCAGGACAAGGCGTCACAGAGAAGGCGTCCCGAGACCTTCTTCCTTGGCTTGGAGACATAGCCCTCTTCCCGCCCAGTTCCTACATGGCCTTCCCTGTGTTTGT